AGGTGCGCTTCTCGACAGGTTAATAGCCATCAAACTCCGCAGCCTTCCTGCCCGGGAGTCTAGACTCTTCCACCTGCTGTGTACACATTAACACAGGAGCAGGGAAGGGCAAGGGAATCCTTTTTATTGCACACTTTATTAATACTGTAATGCTCAAATTTTCCATCCAAGCATTTAAAGCCTCCTGACTCCTGCAGCACCATACGAAATGCCAACGCTGAAGCACCCCATCCTGACTCCGGCCGTTCCTTGAAGCCTGTGAGGTTCCTGGCGCCCAGGAGCTGCCGGAAGCCCTTTGGGCACAGCCCTGCCCGCCCCAGCTCAGCCCTGGGAATGGCACCTGCAGGGCCAGAGCTGCCCAGGGCACGTCCTCCCCACACAGCTCATAAGCCATGGTCCCTCCCGGCTTCAGGTCATGGCCACCGACACTGGGGGAGGGAGACCGGCCAAGCGTGCTTAGAAAAAAAAAAAAAACAACAAAGCTTTTCCTTTGCACCTTGCAGAGCACAAATTGATTCACGCTGCTGATGCTCAGTTTCTGGAGAGCTAATCCTGCCTCTGGCCCAGCAGGTACAACGTGCAGGTTGCATCCTCCCAGTGTGACAAGGTGTGAGCTGGCGAGGCCACTGAGGCATCTGTCACATCGCAGGGCACTGCCAGGGCTCAGCATTAGTGTCACTGCAGGGCTTTGTCCCTCACAGACCCCCCCGGGATGGGGAGGACCCGGGCTGCCCACGCCGAGCAGCCTCTGGCACTCCCTTGGCTTCTTCCCCAGCCTCAGCAGAGCCTGCCTCACCCAACCAAGCAAAAACTGGGGAAGGGAAAAAAGGAAAAGCAGAAACCAAACAAATAAATAAAGGAGCAACTGCAGCACTTGACTCCGGAGGCCTTTGCCGTGGGAAGAAGCCATCCCGAAGCAGCGTGTCACCAGCGGCACAGCGACCCAGACAATCAGCCCCTCTGTGCAGCCTGCCAGCTGCAGCCCGGCCGGGGACCGGGGCGGGGGGGAACAATGGCCGTGGGGACAATGAGGATTGTTCAGGGCTGCTCGGGAGGGGACAGCCCCACGCAGCCCTGGGAGGGGACCTGTGGCTGTCACCAGCTCCGAGCTGCCAAACACGCGGCAGATTTGGGGTGCCCTTAAGCAGGGCGTGTGCCCGCTGGGACGCTCAAGGGATGCTGAAAGCGGCAGCGAATGTTTGTGAAAGGGAAGAAGTGTGAACAGACGTACAGCGAGTGAGCAGCCCCTGCGGAGGGACCACCTCCTGGTGCTGAGCAGGGGTGCTGGGGGTGCTGGGGGTGCACAGATGGTGGGAGTAGGGCCAGGCAGCGAACACCAAGCATTGAAACTGGTGCTGTTCCCTGCACATATTCCCACTGCAAAGACACGGAGAGGAGGTGGCTCCTTTGGAGCTGAACTCACCCTAAAGCTGGTGGCTCTGTCCAGGAGCCGGTGATGCTAGGTTACCCTTGCTCATGTCATCAGGCAAGTCATTTCAGATTTGCAAATAGATGTGGGCAGTTTATCTATTAAACCTGGATGACAGCAACTTTTTGCCCCTCTCCCCTCTCATTTGTCACTTTTCATCCAGCCCTGGTGCTCTCCCCACCCAGGACAGTGTTGGCCCCTGGTCAGCCCAAGCCCATCTGGTGAGACATGGAAGTCGGGGTACGGGTTGGCAAGAGGAACCAGCTCCTGGGGCGACAGCTTGCTTTGGAGCAAGGATCCCTTTCCCTAAGGGAGCCAGAGGAATGGCAGGGAGGGTGTCTGTGCACACTACGGGGCGCGGGTCCATCTGCCAGCATTGCTAGGCTGTGACTACAACTGTTTATCTTGAAAGCCAGCGGGTTACATTCTCCAAAGTTTCCAGGGAGAAAATACAGACCCTTCCTTTCAGCTGCGCGCCGGAGGATGTGCAACCTCGATGAATTCCTCGGTTTTGTTTGGCTTGGGTACACCGCGCTGGGTAGCGTCACCAGCCAGAGGCTCTTCTGGCTTTGATCTGGGAGCTAGGTGCGCTTCTCGACAGGTTAATAGCCATCAAACTCCGCAGCCTTCCTGCCCGGGAGTCTAGACTCTTCCACCTGCTGTGTACACATTAACACAGGCATACACACAACTCGCTCTGTACACGTACCCATACGCCACAGCCAGCCTCACCAAGGATGCGAAGCGAAGCTCTTCAGCAGCCTTCCAAGGTAAGCAGCAAGAATTCAGGCCCTGGTCTGTGCAGCGGACACAGCTGCAGCGCGGAGCCGGGGGACGGCCAGCCTGCCCTTGTGCTGCTCTTGTTTCGATCCCAGCAGAAGTTAGAGCTACCGGCCTCGAAGGTCTCCTTTCCACCACCGTCTGCTGCAAAACGGCCCCGTGCTGTGGGTTCTGCCCCTTCCTCCCGAGCTCTGCCAAGGGAGGCTGCTGGGATGGGCATCCCAGCTGCAAAAAATACCACTGTGGGGGAGCTCACTGTATCAGCGTGGAGAAAAACCTGCCAGAGGGCATCCAGCCAGCTGCCCTGCATTTCAGCTGGCATCTCGTATCCTTAACGCCTCGCACCACGCTCCTGATGGTCAGGAAGCCCCCCGAGCACCATTAGCCCCGTCACACCTACGGCTGCCTCCAGTCCCGCCAGCGGCGTTACAGAAAACACAGGCAATTTGTCCGCCGGGTCGGGCAACACCGGCTCTCGCCTGCGGTGAAACCGCAGAGCTGCTCCCCCTCGCAGCACACACCGCACGGGGCTTTCAAGAGAAATGAATCATCTCCGCGCAAACCCAAACAAAACCAGAATAAAACCCAGTGTTTGTAAAATACAGGGAAAGGCGACGGAGCCACCACCCATCTGCATCCCCACCTCCGAGGAGAGGTTTGGGGTCTTCCCTCCCCCAGCAGTGTACGTACCATGTCATGGCAGCACACAAAATGAGCAGCTCGGTGTAAAAAAGCCGTGCCAGAAACGCCAGTCCGGGCATCGGCCGGGACGCCTGGCACATCTGCACTTCCAGGGTTTCGTTGTGTTTTGTTTTACACCACAGCAAAGCTGAACAAATGCTGCCTCCCCTCCTCCCACACCAGTGTCTCCCGTCTCGGGAGCTGCAAGGTCTGCGAGCGGCTCCCAGTCCTGCTTCAGCCTGGCTGCGCACGGGGTGCCGAGAGACCCCCGAGAGCAAAGCCCATGTTCGTCTGCAAGCAGGCCCCCGTCTGCAGGACGTCCCGCTCATCTTCACCCCCCCAACCCAGCGCCATGGCCGCCGGCCGCCTCCGAAGGGCAAAGGGATGGTTAATGGGCAGCAGCAGGGCTGGGGGCTGAGAGAGGTTTTAACACCCGGACATCGTGTTCCCTCCACAGCTCTCATGCTTGGGGCCGTGCAAGCCTCGGTGACACAGTGGCCATCGCCCAGACCCCGCAGTGTCACCGTTCTCTCCCTCTCCATCAGAAAAAGAGATTTAGCTTAGACATTAAGACCTCAGGCAAACCGCAGTGCTTTGGTGCTTGCTCCACGGGCAGCTACATCAAGGCAAAGCTTTCTGTGGACTCCTGAGGGACTCTGACCACGTCCTGGAGACCTTCCCAATGCGCAGCCTCAGCGTGGCTCGAGACAACTGAAGAGACATAACCAACGAGCCTGGGGCAAAAAAAAGCAGTTTGGGAGAAACAATCAGAACTATTTGAGTGGGTGCAACTCAGGCAAATAGGTATGGTCAAGAAGAAAAAGGTCTCTGGCTGAACGTCCTCCACAGCAAATCTGCACCTTTGGTTTTAAAACATTTTCATTCTTGAAACTCGCATCCTGCTTGTTTGCTTTTACATTAAAGGGTTAAATAACCTGACAAACTAAACAAAACTATTTGCTTTGGGCTGACTAAACCGATTCATTCAACCCACACTGTTCTTTTTTCCCCCTTCCAGGTTCATTGTTTTGCTTTGAAAAGAAAAATCAATAGCTTGAGCTGAGCTGATTTTTGTTTCCCCCCCCCCTCTCATCCTCCTGCACTTTTTGGTTTGGCTACCAGGCTGAGAAATCCATTACCCACAGGGATCCTGGGCCAGCCTAACCCACATCTGACAGTAAAAGAAACCAGATTCTCCATGTCTCTTAGCCCCTGGCTTCCTTCTTGGGCTTTCCCACACGTCTCCAGCTCCCACTGGGGCCGGTGGCCGAGCTGGGTGTCGCGGAGGGAGAGGACCCTACGCAAAGAGGCTGCGCTTTCCCCTCCTGTCCATGTGTCCAGCTCTTGGGGTCAGCGCCAGTCGCCAGATACGGTCGCTCATCTCAGCCACTTCCCGGCACGGGGACAGCCGTCGGCGCTGCCCTCTCCGGTCCGGAAACCCTCCGAACACCCAAGCAGCGGCGAGACGGTGTCGGGAAGAAACACCAAGGAGGCAGCGAAGATGGACTTAATATGAATCTTTAATGCACAGAACAAGCTGCAGGGTGCCTTGCGAACGAAGGCTGCGCGCGGAGCCGGCCCGTCGACTCGGAGCGGTACAAAAGCCCAGCTTGCCTGCAGCGTCCCGGCACCGGCATGGCATC